AAGAAAAAAAAAGATATTTACATTCAAACAATTAATTTATTTCTTTTATTTTTCTCTTTTTTTGAAAAATTGATTATTTTATTTGGTATTTGGTTTTTTTTTTTGTTAGCTATAAAGTATTACTTAAAATTGTTATAAAGTAAAACTTATAATAGTAGCAATAAATTGTGATCATTCGGTAGTTTCAATTTTAAAAAAAGCCGAAATATTGTCGCCAAAAATTCATAGAAAAGCAGTAAAAAAAAAAAAAAAGATCGTTATATTTGCAATTTAACAAATTGAAATTTTAATTGTAAACAACAAAAAGAAAAATGAATAAATAATAAGAATATAATGTGAAAAAAAAAAAAGAATTAATAAAAGTTTAATGTGATTATTTGTCACATTGATACTTGTCATTTCGTTTTATTTTTTTTTATTGATTACGGAAATGTTGTCTCATATCAGTAAATTTATTTATTTATTCTTTTTTTTTTAACAAAATTAATGATGAAAATGACAAAAAAAATAACAACCATAACGATGACAATAGCGACAACAATGATGACAATAGCGACGACAATGGTGACAATAGCGACGACAATGGTGACAATGGTGACAAGAAAATAAGAATTAAAAAAAAGCTAAAGATTGAAATGTTACTATGGTGATAGCACAACTAACAATTGTTTCTAATGATGGCAATAATTTATGTCATTTCTTTTTATTACGCTAACAAATTAATTAAATTATCTTTAACAATCACTCATTTTGCAAATTTTATTTCAGAAAAAAAAAATTTATTATTAACAATTTTAATCAATATTTGATAAAAATTTTAATATTTTTTTTCTTTTTTTGTTAATTAACATCTGATAAAGAAAATTTTAGTAATTCTTTTAGCAAAAAAAAAAGAAATTCAGAGTAAATTAGAAATATAAATTAAAGCAAATGTATTTAAGAATTTATATTCAATTTTAAATTGTTTTTTCTTTTTGCTAAATTTTACCTTTGAAGGAGTAATTTTGAAGGTTATAAATTAATTGAAATAATTTCTCTTTTACATTTCCTTCCTTCCTTCCTTCTTATTGTAAATTTATTCATTTATTTATCTTTTCTTGATTGAAATTGAAAAATCTTTTAGTAAATAAATTAAAAATTTTTAATCGTCAATTTTTGTATGAGAAATAATCAGCAAAAATATTAATCAAAAAGTTGAAATTAAATATCTACGATTGAATTTATGAAAGTAGATTGGAACTTATTGCTAAATTTATGGCATAAATAAAACTTTTTTACCTTATCAATTAGTCGTTTCTGTCTTATCACTTCACCTAGCATCAATGCACTATTTTAATTCCGATATATCAATATTCAAATACCGATATATCATTATTTGTTTTCAATAACAATGTATAAACGCACTTTATACGCATGTTCAAATATCGTAAATAATAATTATCAAATCAAATAATCAAATATCAATGTCACAAAATGCGATCAGTTTAAATCTTAATTTTTCGGTTTGATCAAACGCAATTTGACTAATTTAAAAAAAAAAATCGTAAAATCGGAATTTGACTAACTTAAAAATTTAAAAAACAAATTTCGCAAAAAAAAAAATTGATAGATTTTAAAGTAATAATATGTTAATGCTAAAATTTAGTAATATTAATTGTAATAATTAACAATTTATTATTGCTACCTGTACCTTTAATTAGTAATTTAAATTTTTACTACATTTACAATGAAAAATATTGAAATACAAATAAAAATCAATAAAAGACTATGAAATTCTTTTATATGACATGCAATTAGTTAGCAAATAAGAAGCATTATTGATCAAATAAAAAATAACATTTAAACATGCTTTTTTTTTAAATCTAAAAATTGAGTCCCCCCCCACCCCCAAAAAAAAAAAAAACTTTAAAAATAAAAATTACAATTTAAAAAAGGAAAAAAAAAATGTTACATTAAAAAGAGAAAAGAATTTTATGTAAGTGAAAAATTCGAAATAAAATGATAAGCTTTTGCTTAGAATGTAAGCAAGCAAAGCATTCTATTCTGCAAAGGGCAAAAAAGAATTTATAGCCTAGGAATTGATGAAGCAAAAGCGTTGGCTAAAATCGAAGAAGCGTGGGCTGCACAAATGGAATGCGACAAATCATTGTCACCGAATGAGCCTAGCTGACTGACTTAATATCCGAAATTGAGTAGTCTCTCCATCCTTTTCATTTCATACAAATGTATTTATGTATGTGTACCTATATGTATCTGTATGCATGTGCATGCGTGTATGTGTATGTATGTGGGCAATTTGAGTATGTACACATATATGCATGTAAGCATGTGTGTGCATTATGTATGTGAGCATGTGTGTGTGTACTAATTAATGTATACGCATGTATATGTATGTGTATGCATGTGGGCAATTTGAGTATGTACACATATGTGCATGTAAGCATGTGTGTGCATTATGTATGTGAGCATGTGTGTGTGTACTAATTAATGTATACGCATGTATATGTATGTGTATGCATGTGGGCAATTTGAGTATGTACACATATGTGCATGTAAGCATGTGTGTGTGTATACAAATTTATGTATATGCATGTATATGTGCATGTCTGTGTATTAGTGTGTGTGTGTGCATGTGAGTATATGTATGATCTATGTAAGCATGTATGTGTATTGTGCATGTGATTGTGTGTATTTATGCATACATATACTTATATTTATGTGTATGTTTGTATGTTTGCATGTGAGTATGTGTATGATCTACGTAAGCACATGTGCATCGTGTATGTGTATGTGTGTTTACAAATGTATTTATGTATATATATGTATGTCTGTATGTTTGCATGTGAGCCATGCATATATGTGCATGTGAATATATATGATGTAAGTATGTAAGCATGCATGTGAGTATGTGTGTGCATGTCTGTGTATGTGCGTGTGTGTGTGTTTAAGAAAATTAGTTTAAATCACAGACAAAAAATTTGCAACAAATTGTAAAATGAAGAAAGAATTTCTATTGAAATTTCAAAAAGGAAGAAAATATTTCATTGTTTATCCCACAAAATAAACTCAACAAAGTCTAACATTTTGAAAAAAAAAAAAAAAAAACTTTGTTGCATAATTTTAATAAAAATGAAAATTGCAAGTTTAACTTTTTTTTTTCTAAAAAAAAACTTACAATTTAATATTTTCATTTTTTCATCAATTGCTAACAGTTTGAGTTAAAAAAAAAACGCAATTTTCAACAGTTACTATATTATTTATCAATTTTAATGATAAATTTAATAAATATTAACAAAATATTTTTTATAAATTTTAATTTTGTAAAATTTATATGGAAAACTTTTCGTAAATTAAACAAATTGAATGCATCAAATAAAATTTGATTCCTTTTTTCTAACATTTAATTTTAACTAAAAAATGTTTATTTCAAAAAAGGAAAAGAAACCAAACATGACAATTTTTTAAAATTAATCACTTCATTTCAAAAATTTTGAAATAACAAATAATAGGAATCGTTTAAAATTACAAAAAAAACTTTTCAAACCTTCCAAAAAATTTTTTTTGAAAGATTTAAAAATTTCCAATAATTTAATTAAAACAAAAAGATTGAACTAGAAATTAAAAAAGCAAAATGTTATTAAAAGTATAATTAATTTCATATTGGAAAAAAGCAATACGATCAATTGTTTGATCTAAAATATTATATATTTTTCTATCTTTTAAATGATCAGTCATTCGATGTAAAATTTATTTTTTTTAAAAAAAAATTTAAAGCAATTTTAAAAAAAAAAAATTTTTTTTTTTTTGAATGATCGATAATTTCAATAGAAAAATAAATAGAACACTTGTCACAATTCAATTATATTTCAATTTTATTGATATGTAGATATTTTTTTTTTAAAAAAAAAATTTTTTAATGCAAATATTTGTGTAGAAAGAGAGGGACAGAGAGAGAGAGAGAGAGAGAGAAAGAAAGAAGAATAAAAAAACACGTTTAAAAAATAAATTTATGAAAAAATGACAAAAGAGAACTTTAATTCATTTTTTCAATTTTAGTTTATTTTTTCCCTAAGTTATTTGATAAAAAAAAGATAATTGTTAACTTTTTTTTTTAATTTTCTGTTATTACTAGGGGAAATAGTAACCTAAATTGAAGAAATTGGTGTTAAAAAACAAATAAATAAATAAAAACGAAAAAATGGCAGAAAAAATTGAAAAAAATAATTTCTATGTAAGCCATTTTTTTTAGCAATTTAAAATTCTTATCATTTAATTAATAATTTATTAGTTTAAATATTTTTCAATTACAATACGTAATGTAAAGTACTATAACTTAATTTTAAATTTTACAATAAATACTTGCTGAAAAAAAATTTTTAATCCATCATAAAATTTAGCAATAGAATTTATATTATAGTTTCGGAAACAACTTTTAATATTATCTCCTAGGTTAAATAATTATATACATATTTTTAATTAATTATATAATTATATATAGCTCATAGGTTAATTAATTATAATTATATTTAAAAAATATATGAAAAAAATAATTATATTAAAAAATATCAGATTTTAGTTTTATTTAATTTTTTAAAATTAATTCATAATTTAAAGAAATTGATTATTATATTAAATTAAAAAGTTTAATTAATTTTATATACTTTTAATTAATTATATAATTATATAAACCTCTTAGTTTAATTAATCATATAAATTATATAAAAAAAACAGCAAATTTTAGATTTTTTTTTTAAAATTAATTAATAATTAAAAAAATTGATTATCATATTAAATTAATAAGAAGTTTAATAGTGTACTTAATGTGAATTTGCAATGCATTTACAATAATTTGATCAAACCAAATTCATAATTTAATTTTATTTTAAAATTTTTCAAAAAAAAAAATCACTTATAAATATAAATTCAAATTTGATAAATAATTCATTGTTATCTGTTTACTGATTGTAAATTGGTTTAAAAACAAAACAAAAAAGCAAGAAATGGAAGAATCTGGAATACCTTCTGCTACTGGTGATGATGAATGTGAGAAGAGGAAAAAACGTGGACCAGTTGGAAAGCTTTTCTTTAAGGTTTATTCTAGCTTTTAATTTAAATTAGTTTCTTAAAAAAAAGAGAGAGAGAGAAAAACGAGAGGGACAGAGAGAAAGAGAGAAAATGCAAAAGAAAAAAATTGTTAGATTTAATTTGAATAGAAGGTTATTTGATTAATGAAACAAATTTTATTCTAAGTATATTTTAATTTTGTTAGCATTCATAAAAAAAAAAAAATTGAAAAAGGAAAAAAGAGAATAATTAAAATGAAAAATGATCAAAGATTAATTTGAAATGATAATTTAAATCCTAAAATTGAAATAAAAGGGGATTAACTATTAACGAATAGTTGTTTGTTATTAGTTTTAAGTAATTTAACTAATTAAATTTAAGTTATTTGAAAGATTTATTTTGTCAAATTTAAGTTATTTGAAAGATTTGTTTTGTCAATTTTAAAATAATTGAAAGATTTAATTTCCTAAATTTAAGTTATTTGGAAGATTTATTTTGTCAAATTTTAGTTATTTGAAAGATTAATTTTATTAAATTTAAGTTACTTGAAAAATTTGTTTTGTCAAACTTATTTGAAAGATTTAATTTCTTAAATTTAAGTTATTTGGAAGATTTGTTTTATCAAATTTAAGTTATTTGAAAGATTAATTTTATTAAATTTAAGTTATTTGAAAAATTTGTTTTGTCAAATTTAAGTTATTTGAAAGTTTTTATTGTTTAATTAACTAATTGTAATAGTTTAAAGAAATTTTGAGAAATTACTTTCTTTTTTTTTTTTTGAATAAATTAATAAATTAATTTTAGGTAGGTGAACGTATGGGAATTGTTGAGCAGACACGTTTAGCACCTGAATTTGTTACTGAAATTGAAAAATATTACAAGTTAGTTATTAATTACTTACTTTATTATAATAATTACTTTATTATGAATTTATTATTATTATTTAACCGAAAAATAAATATGAAAATTTTTTTAAAAAAGCAAAATTTATCATTGATCTTTTATCTGTTAAGAAAGATTCATTAATTACTTAATTAATTATAATAATTACTTTATTATGAATTTATTATTATTATTTAACCGAAAAGTAAATGTGAAAAATTTTTTAAAAATGAAATTTTCATCAAGGAACTTTTATCTGTTTAAGAAATATCCATTAATTAATTTTGAATTTATTATTACTATTATTATTATTGTTACTATTATTGAACCAAAAAATAAATATAAAAAAATTTTTTAAAAATGAAATTTTCATCATTTATCTTTTTATCTGTTAAGAAAATGAAACAAATAATAAATTATAAATTGAAATTTTTTCAATTCATCTATTTTTTTCATTTTTTTTTTTGTTGGATAATTTTTTAAATGAAAAGCTAATTATTAATTTTAGTTATAAAATTATTTCAAATTTATCACTTTCAATTATTAAAAATAAAATTTTCATTCTTTTATCTGTTAAGAAATATCCATTAATTACTTATGAATTTATTATTATTACTATTATTGAACCAAAAAGTGAATATAAAAAAATTTTTTAAAATAAAATTAAAATAAAAAAAAAAAACAAAATAATTTCAAATTCATTCGTTTATTGATAATTGAACAATTTCTCATTTTGCACTTATCAATTAATCATAATTATTGATTTATTTTAAATTTAAAATTAGACAATTTTTTCTTTTTAAAGAAAAAGAGAGAGGGAGAGAGAGAGAGAGGGAGAGAGAAAAGCTCTTTGTTAAGAAATGATAAATTTACAGATATCAAGAAGATGTTGATAAGTTAGTTGATCGATTAGAAATTGTCCTGCAAAATGATGAGACAGTTTTACGGAGTGGAAATATTGAATGTAGCGAGAAAACGGATCCGTATGAGATATTTGCACAAAATATTAATGCTTTCCGATCATTTCAACCGGAAAATGCTCAGGTAATTCGGAAAATAAAATCCAGAAAACTGCACTATAAATTGTTTAAATTTTTTTTTTTTTTTTTCATTTATTTTAATGCGGTTTATAAGTGTTAGAAGAAAGAAAGCAAAAATCTCTTTTAAACATTAATTTTCAAAATTTGAGTACAAATTAATATTAATTAATTTAATAATTAAATAATTATTAAATTTGATTTTTTTATTTTTAGTACTAAATCAAATACTTTGATTTTCATAAGTTTATAATTTATTTTTACTTTTCTTTTCCTTTTTTTTTTTGATTTATTAAAACCAAATGATTACTTTTTCATTTATTAAATTAAATTATAATAAATGTAATTTTAGTTATTAAGTTAATATTAAAGCAAAAATTAAGTAAAATTAGATTTGAAAAAAAAATTTTAGACAAAAAAAGATTTAATTGAAATTTTTGCATTAATTTTAATTTTAGGTTTCATTAACTGAAGCTGAAGCAGTTGTTAAACGTTTAGCAATAATGAATCGAGAAATGCAATCTAAAGGTTTTCAAATAATATTATTAATTTTAATATTTTTTATTTCTTCTTTTTTTTAAAAAAAAAATAATTATTAAATTTAATTAAAATTTTAACAATCTGTTAGCTTTATTTGATGTAAAATTTTAGCTAATTAATATGATAAGCCTTCCTTTTTTTTTTTTTTAAAAAAAATTATATATTAAAATTTTTAATTTCTGGAAAATAATTAAAGTTTAATTTAATTTAGCTAAAAATATAAGTATGATAAGATAAATTTAGGTACAAATTTATCAAATTTAAATAATTTATTTTAATAATTTTTTGATTTTATTTTATAATTTATAAATTATTTTTTTGAATAATTTTATAAATTTAAAAAATAATTTTTTTTTTTTAGGTCGTCGATCAATTTGTAAAATGCGACAATTTGTGACACACGAAAAATTAGCAATGATTGAAGCACAAAAAAAATTAATGCAAGCACGCGATACGATGGATGCAGCTCGACATGATGTTTATATTTTCATTTAAAATTTTTATTTAAATTTTTTTTTTTTTGTCAACAATTTTAAATTTTTTTTTTTGTTGACAAATAATTGAAATTTAGAATTTTTAAGATTTGTAATTTTTTTTTTCTTTTATTTATTTTGTTGAATATTTGATTTTAGATTAACTTTCTTTTGTTTTGTTTTGTTGTTTTTTTAAATAAATTAAAATAAAAAAAAAATTTTTTTTTTTTATTTTAATTTATTTAAAGCTTAAACATGCATGAACAACAGAAATGGTTGAGGAAAAGGGCAAATATTACGAACGTATGGTAAGAGAATTTGATCAACAAGCTGCCCGTGTTGCAGCATTTCCCGAACATTTACCCGCGGATAAAGAGGAACATCAGAAGGAATTATTTGATGTATACTTTTAGCTATTGGAAAAATTATTTGTTAATTTCTTTTCTATTTTTAAAATTTAGTAAAATTTAAATTAGTTTTTTATTTTCTTTTTTAATCAAATTAATTATTAGCTTGTTTTTCATTTTTCCTCCAATTTTTTCTTTTCTATTTTTAAAATTTAGTAAAATTTAAATTAGCTTTTTATTTTCTTTTTTATTTAAAAATAATTATTAGTTTATTTTTCATTTTTCCTCCAATTTTTTCTTTTCTATTTTTAAAATTTAGTAAAATTTAAATTAGCTTTTTATTTTCTTTTTTATTTAAAAATAATTATTAGTTTATTTTCATTTTTTCCTCCAATTTTTTCTTTTCTATTTTTAAAATTTAGTAAAATTTAAATTAGCTTTTTATTTTCTTTTTTATTTAAAAATAATTATTAGTTTATTTTTCATTTCTCCTCCAATTTTTTCTTTTCTATTTTTAAAATTTAGTAAAATTTAAATTAGTTTTTTTATTTTCTTTTTTAATTAAAATTAATTATTCGTTTATTTTTCATTTTTCTTCTAAAAAAAAATAATTTTTGATGAAATTAATGAATGAATATTAATTGTTTCAACATTTACTTAATTAATTATTGTTAGAATTTAAAATTAAAATTTTTTTTTTTAAAAATTTGAAATTTCAGTTTATTTATTTTAAAATAATACTAAAATGGTACTATTTGCAGTATTTTGAAACGCTTGGAAATTTTCATCAAAATGCAAATTTATTGCTTGAAGAGCATTTGCCACTAATGAAAATACCACCGACTGTGACAATTACAAATCCTCGTCAACAATAAACAATAATATTTCATTAATTATTAGCATATTAGCTAATTTTTTTTTGAATAAATTCATATTGTTATTTGTTTTGACAATTTGCGCCACATATAGTTCAATCATTTGAAAGTTTATTGATTAGTAATTGGCTAATAAAAAAATGGTTAATTAATAAAGTAACAAAGTTTAAATTTTAAATTCATATTATCAATAAGTTTGTTTTTAGCAAATTCCATTATTAAACAATTATTTTGATATAAAAAAATAATATTTCAATATTTAAATTCATATTGTTATTAGTTATGACAATTTGCGCCACATATATTATTCAATCATTTGAAAGTTTATTGATTAGTAATTGGCTGATAAAAAATTGGTTAATTAATAAAGTAACAAAATTTAAATTTTAAATTCATATTCTCAATAAGTTTATTTTTATCAAATTCCATTATTAAACAATTATTTTGATGTAAAAAAATAATATTTCAATATTTAAATAAATAATATTTCAATATCAATTTGCGCCACATATATTATTCAAACATTTGAAAGTTTATTGAATTAGTAATTGGCTAATAAAAAATTGGTTAATTAATAAAGTAACAAAATTTAAATTTTAAATTCGTATTCTCAATAAGTTTATTTTTAGCAAATTCTATTATTAAACAATTATTTTGATATAAAAAAATATTATTTCAATATTTAAATAAATAATATTTCAATATCAATTTGCGCCACATATATTATTCAAACATTTGAAAGTTTATTGAATAGTAATTGGCTAATAAAAAAATTGGTTAATTAATAAAGTAACAAAATTTAAATTCATATTCTCAATATTTTGATATAAAATTTATTCATACCATTCCAATATTTTAATTAATATTGTTATTCGTTATGACAATTTGCGCCACATATTGTTCAATCAATTGAAAGTTTCTGGATTAATAATTGATTAATAAAATAACAATATTTAAATTTTAAATTGATATCCTAAATAAGTTTAATTTTAGAAAATTTCATTTTTAATCAAATATTTTGATATAAAGAAATAATATTTCAATATTTAAATTCATATTGTTATTCGTTATGACAACTTGCGCCACATATTATTCAATCACTTGAATGTTTCTTGATTAATAATTAATTAATAAAAAATTAATTGATTAATAAAATAACAATATTTAAATTTTAAATTGATATTCTCAATAAGTTTAATTTTAGAAAATTTCATTTTTAATCAAATATTTTGATATGAAATTTATTCATACTATTCCAATATTTAAATTCATGTTGTTTATTATGTCAATTTGCGCCACACATATTATTCAATCATTTAAAAGTTTCTCGATTAATAATTGATTAATGAAAAATTAATCGATTAATAAATTGAAATATTATAATTAAAATTTTTTAGGATAGAATTAAAATATTTTAGGCAATTCTCAATAACTTTATTTTTAGCAAATTTTATTATTAATCAAATATTTTGATATGAAATTTATTCATAATATTTCAGTATTTGAATAATTGATATAATAACCAATATTTTACTTTTCTTTTTTAAAATTTTGTCTTATATTTCAGTTTTTTTCTTTTTATTTATTATTTATCAAAATTTCATTCAAAAAAATTTTTCTTTTTTCATTTGAATAAATGAATTTATAAAATTGAAATGAAAGTAATATTCAATTAATTTCATCCAATATAGTTAGAAAGTTAGAAAAAAAATGCATCAAATTAAGGTTAAAAAAATTTTACTTCAAATTTTGAAAGTAAATGTAATATTCATTTTACTTAAATTTACTTTTTACTTTCATTTCATTTTAGGTTTACAGTTTATCACCAAGTATAATTATTAATTTTAATTATTCTAGCAGAGAAAATAAAAATAAACAAACAAAAAAGCGATAATTTTTCTTGTGATAATTCATTTTTATTTTTTTTATAAATATTTTAACAAAATTTTTTTTTAAAAAAAATTTAAAAAAAAAATATTTTTACTTGTAATACATCTATTCTCAACAAATAAATATTAATTCCATTAGAGTATATTTAATATAAAATTAAGAATAATGAAATTTTTATTGAAAAAAAAAAAACAAATTTAAATTTCATTTCTTTTAAGAAAAAAGTAAAAAAGAAGAATATTTAAAGGGAATTTTTTCATTTTTCAAAAAATAAAAAATAAACAATCAAAACTGGAAAAAACTAAAAAATTTTTTAAATCATAAAAAAAGAGGAAATTAAATTTTTTTAAAAGGAAGAAAAAAAGTAGAAATTAGAGCAAAATACGATTAATAATTTAATACTACAAATAAATGTGTATTTTTGTGTTTTTTATTTTCAATTTTTCATTCAAATTTAAAACATCCATTTGTTAAGATAATTAACAAAGATAACAGAGAGAGAGAGAGAGAGAGAGAGAGAGAAAAAAAAAGTTAAATTTAAACAAAATGAATTGTCATTGTTTGTTTACTTTTTTTAACTTGTTTATTTTTTTGCCTCCCTCCCTCTCTCTCTCCCTCTCTCTTCTGTCCATTTCAAATTCTTTTTATCTGATAAAATAAAAATTAGGAATAATATGAAATAACAAGTTTTTAAAGATTTTCTTTTGTTTGTTTACTTTTTTTTTTAAACTTGTTTACCTGTTTTTATTCCTTCCTCGTTTTCTCTCTCTCTCTCTCTCTCTCTCTCTCTCTCTCTCTCCCTTCTGTCCATTTCAAATTCTTTTTATCTGATAAAATAAAAATTAGGAATAATATGAAATAACAAGTTTTTAAATAATTATTAAATTTAAATTCTTCAATTTTGTCATCAATCTAATTTGTCATTTCTTTCTTTCTTCTTCCTTCTCCTTCTCCTTCTTCTCATTCTTCCTCTTTCAATAAATTTTGAGTATGTATCGAAATGCCATAGCAAAAACCGGAATATACATTCGACCGATTAATCCGTTCCCTCATTGTCACCAATACCATTTTGTTTGTCACCATTACAACCATTTTAATACCGGTATAATTATCATGTGACAACTGGTACCATTCCTCTCTATCCATTCTTTCATATATAAAAGCTGCCATATTACATCAAACAATTGAATCATTTATTCAAATTATTCATATCTTATTATTATTATTATTATTATTGGTATTAAATTACTTAAAGTTTTAATTATTTTTTTTTTTATTAAATCTTTTAATCAATTTGATTAAAAGATTTTAAATGTTTAAATTTTGTTTGGTTTGAATTAGCATTTATTAGTATACTTTTAATAGTTTAGTAATAATTTGGCTTAATAGTTTAGTGAATTAACTTTTGTTAAATTAATTAGCGCAAAGTTTTAATTAGCTTATCGTTTTTTTATTAGTAAATCTTTTAATCGAAATTGATAAAAAAATTTTAAATGTTTAAATTTTGTTTGGTTTGAATGAGTTTTAATTAGCATTTGTTGGTACACTTTTAATAGTTTAGTAATAATTTGGCTTAATAGTTTAGTAAATTAACTTTTGTTAAATAATTTAGCACAAATTTTTAATTAGCTTATTTATTAACAAATCTTTAATAAAATTAACAAAAAATTTTAAATGTTTAAATTTTGTTTAGTTTAAATCAGATTTATTAAATTAATACTTTTTATAGTTTAATAATAATTAAGTTTAAAAGTTTAGTGAATTAACTTTTGTTAAATTACTTAGCTAACATTTATTGTATGCTTTTTTGAAAAATTCAAATCTTTCTTCTCGTTTTTTTCCTCAATTATAAAAATTTTACAAAATTTGTATTTAATAGTATTAAAGTTTATTTATAACTAAATAAAAATGTATTTATAATTAAATAAGAATTATTCGACTTACTTTAATTTACTTTAACTGTTACAACAATAATCAATTTGTTATAATAAATTTCAATATGGAAAAGTTTATGTGTCAAATTTTTTATATGTTAAAAACTATATGTTAAATTAATTTGTAATTAATTCAAAATTAATTTTTACTTTTTAATTTGATATTTTACACCTTTATATTAAATTAATTTTTTATTTTTTAATTGGATATTTTATACTTTTACGCTTAATTAATTCCTATTTTTTAATTTGATGTTATACTTTTACCTTCTTTTCTTGTATCATTGACAAATTTGTTATTTCAAAATTTATTTATTATTTCAATATACAATCATACAAAGCTAACTTAATTAATCAATTAATTTTTATTTAAATACTTAAAATGTTCATTTTCAATATTTTTTTCGGACGATAAATTAATTCTTACCTTTTAATTTTATCTTTCTTACTTTTTAATTTGATCTTTTACATATTTATGTTAAATTAATTTTTACTTTTTAATTTGATATTTACATCTATTTCTTTCCTTGTATCATTGACAAATTTATTATTTCAAAACTTATTAATTTTTTCAATATATAATTATAAAATCTAACTTAATTAATCGATTTAATTTTTAATACCAAAATTTCAATTTCAGTATTTGTTGGACGATAAATTAATTCTTACCTTTTAATTTTATCATTCTTACTTTTCAATTTGATCTTTTATATCTTTATGTTAAATTAATTTTTACATTTTAATTTTGATGTTTCGCATCTAATTTTTCTTCTCTCAAATGATTGACAAATTAATTATTTTAATATAATTATACAAAGCTAACTTAATTAATTAATTAATTTTATTTTAATACCAAATTTTTCAGTGTTTATTGGACGATGAATTAAATACTTACATTTTAATTTTATCTTTCTTACTTTTTTAATTTGATCTTTTACATTTTTATGTTAAATTAATTTTTACTTTTTAATTTGATATTTACATTTATTTCTTGCCTTGTATTTATTATTCCAATATAATTATACAAAGCTAACTTAATTAATCAATTTAATTTTTAATACCAAAATTTCAATTTCAGTATTTGTTGGTCGATAAATTAATTCTTAATCTTTAATTTGATGTTTCGCATCTAATTTTTCTTCTCTCAAATCATTGACAAATTTATTATTTCAATAT